GCGGCGTCGGCGGGCGACGCGGTATCGGGCGACGCGCGCGCGCCGGGACGGGCGGGACGACGACGCGCGCGTCGTCGTCGTCGTCGAATAATTTTGTCGACGACATCCTGGCCCGCGTGCTCCCGCGCGAGGTGAACGAGGCGCGACGGGAGATGGATTTCTTCGACGGGCCGGGAGGGATGTTCGCGCGGATGATCCCGGGGGCGCCGAGACCGAAGGCGCGGACGCCGACGGTGACGAGCGGTGATTCGGTGATTTTTGATTTCGGCGCGCTGGACGCGCGGACGTTTGACGCGACGTTTAACGCGCTGAATGACGTCGTCATGGGCGGGGCGTCGGACGCCGAGGTGACGCTGGAACGTGAAGGGTACGCGCGGTTGGCGGGGGAGACGGAAGACGTTCGTGGAGGGTTCGCGAGCTTTAAGTGTCGAGACTTTGAGCGACCGCTGGATTTGAGCGCGTACGAAGGCGTTCGGCTGACGTGTCGAGGCGATGGCAAGACGTACAAGGTCATCCTGTACGATAACGACGAATCTTGGGGCGGCGTGGCGTTTCACCAGACGTTCGTATGTCCGTCGAACGGAGAGTTTTCGACGGTTGATTTGAAATTTAGCGACTTCGTGCCGGTGCAACGCGGACGCGGCGTCGCCAAGGGCGACAGCGGTTACCGCACCACGACTGGGAAGAACGTGATGTCGATGCAATTCATGCTGAGTAAGTTCGAGTACGGGATGGAGCGAAAAAATACGGGATACGCCCCGGGGCCGTTCGAGTTCGAACTGAAACGCGTCGAGGCGTACAAGTAAACTCAAGAAACTCGCGTCGCTCACTCGATGATTTGTAAACCAAGAAACAACTCTCTGTATCGTATGCTTACATATCGCGTCGCGAGATAGGGACAAGGATAATGCACTTTGATCGCGTCTGTGCGCGCTCCTACGAGCGTTGCGTCACAGAACAGCGCGTGACTTCGGCTCGGAGACATTTGTGAAGTCTGGTCGCCAGCGCTTCGTCGCCGCCGCACATGCCCTTCAACACGAGCGCGGACATGCGAACAAACTGGCTACCTGTGAGCGTCGACGGTACATTGACTTTGGTATTGAACGCGCCCTTCGCAGCTGTGGAGATCCAATCCACGACATCTTCGTGACTCCACTTCACAGGTGCGATGCGTCGTTCTGCCGCTTCCTCCGTTACCTTGCCCGTCTTGGCATCGATGCGAAGCGTCGCAGCGACGTCTTCCCTTTTTTCCTCATATCCTTCGTTGTCATCGTTGCCTCCAATTGCGTTGATTGTTTTTAGCGTTGCGAGCGAGTGTTCGGTGTCGATGGACGCCGGGGACATTGTACCGATGACGGCGAGGCCGGCGTCGTCGCGCACGAAACATTCCGCTAGGACTCGAGTGAGGGGACTGTTTCGGTACGGCACGTGTACGCTTGAGCTCCCCGATCCAGAAAATTTCAAGCGTCGGAATCGCACGCATTCCTTCAGCGCATATAAACTCGCGTTGATCTCAGCCGTTTCTTTCCGTTGCTTCTCGTCGTGATGTGTATTGTCTTCCTTGCGTTCGCTTCCTGCGCAGTCAACGAGCGTGAGTCGACCGGTGGAACCATTCGCGAGAGTCACCGTCAACCGCATCACGGCGTGTGAGCGCGAAGAAGAAGCGTTACACTGCGTTGAGCTCGTTTGTCTCCGAGCCTTGCCCTCGTCGATTACTTTCTTCAGCTCAGCCGCGTTCGTCACCTCGGGCTCCTTTGCGCCTACGAGCTCAACCTCCATCTGACCCGTGAGCTCTTCACCTTGCTCCTCAAACAGCTCTTTGAGTCTGATTTCTACGCGTCCGGGTTGCAGCAAGTCAACGCACGTCTTACCCGCGATTTCAAAGTACGAAACTTTGATTGTTTTAGCGCCCGGCAATCCAGAGTCGCCGAAGAAGAGTGCGTCGACGGCGTGCTTTTCAATGTTTTCCATGGTGTGCGTCTTCCCGCTTCCTGTCTGGCCGTACATGAACAGCGCCCCAACGCTACCCTTGAGTGTTTGAGCGACGAGCGGCGCCGCACTTTTTGCGTACACTTCGTGTTCCTGGACGGCGTCGTCAAAGACGCCGCCGGAAAGCGTGTACGCGCAGTGCTTCACGAACATCCTTTTCAAATCGGCGTGCATCTGACAATTGTGCACGACGGCGGTGGAAGCTCCCTTAACAGTCACCACATCATACTCACCGCGCTGTCTTTCTGGATCAAACAGCGGACGTTTTCGCGCGAAGACGCTGATGGATCCTCGAGCGGGTGTTTCGTGAGCGTTCGCCTCATCCGCGCTCGCCGTGAGATTTTCGTCGCGCCATCTCTTCACGGAAGCGGCAAAGGGTCGCCGATTCATGCGTCGACTCTCCCGCTTGTCGAACATCTGACGATGCATCTTATCACCAGCGTTGTCTCCTCCGATCGGACGCTTTCTCGACGCAGTCGTCGGGCCCGGTCGAGCTCCAGCCGGTTTGCTAACGCGCCCGACCGAACCCGGCTTGGACGTAGCCGGCCGGTCCGCCGCTGGTTTGCTCCCACCGAGCGTCGTTCGAGCCGATTTCGTCGCCGTAGACGAAGGGGCTCGCGCAGCATCTGGCGGACTCACCGTTCTCGGCTTGGACGCCGCCGAAGGACGATTGGCGACGAGCGGCGCGCGCGACTTCACCTCGGGCCTCTTCGACTTGGAGTTCGGAGGCGTCCACTCCTTCACCCCGCGCGCGGTCGGCTTCGGCGCTCGCTTCTTCTCTGGCTCGGGCGTCACCGCGTTCGCGTCGTTCGACGGTGAAGACGTCTTCGCTCGTCCCGCGCGTTCGCTCGACGTCGGCTTTTTCGGACTCTGTCTCGGCGACGGCGCCGGAACCTTTCTCCGCTCCGGCTCCGGCGCGAGCTCGACCTCTTCGCTCAACACGATTCGCGTCCCATCCGGAACCACCTTCACGTACGTCCCACGCGCCGCTTTCGCGCCCTCTTCCGCGCACGCCCGCTCCTGCTCGCGCCGCGCGCTCTCGCGCTCGCGCTGCAACTCCAGCTCCACATCTTTTCGAATCTTCGCCGCCAACGCCTCCGCCTCCCGCTTCGCTCGACGTTCGTGCGTCTCCCGCGCCGCGCGCTCGACGTTTCGTCGCAATCGTTCATCCTCCTCTCGTCTCGCGCGCGCGCTCGCCCGCGCCGCGTCGTCGTCATCGCGTCGCGCGCGGTGCAGTTTCGCCCGCGCGATCGCCTCCCGCCGCTTCTCCGCCCACGCCCTCGCCGCCTCCGACGCCTGCGTCGACGATAGAAAAAAATACAATCTCAGTCTCCCCTCGCCCGCGCGTCCGCGCGCGCGTCGCCGCGCCCGGTGTTCGCCCTCGCGCGCGCGTCGGGGGAACAACCGTCGCGCGCGACATCATCATCGCCCCATCGCGCGCGCGCGCCGCGCGTCAACCGTCCAAGTCGCGCGAGACGACGGGCGCGAAAGCATCGCACGCGCGCCCGCACCTCGCTCGCGCCCATGGCGTCGCGCGCGCGTCGGCGTCGCGGTGTTTCGTCGCGTCTCCGCGACGGTTGACGCGCTCGACCGACGGTTCGCGTACATAGGGTTATGCGGGTGTTGTATACGAGCGGGCCCGACGATGGGCGCGATGTGCGTCGATCGCGCGCGCGCGACGCCGCGCGCGACACGCGCGCGCGCGGGTCGG